AAGAGTTTTTCCTCTGCGTTTTTGTTGTTTCTTTTTGTATTCTTTTTTTGCACTGGATGATATCAACTACTGCGAGATGTGATAGATTTGTGAGCTAGGGGTTGCACAGAGACCGCAGGGAGGTGTGACTGTGAGGGAGCGATTTTGTTTATGTTGTTCTGGAGGACGCTTCTTGCCTGTTTTCTTCTTTGGGAGATTACTTATCAGCTACTGTTTCATAATTGGAAAGCAGCTATCCATGAGACTTTTATCGCGGGAGCTGTCTTTAATGCTAGCAAAGGGATATCCTGCCACCTCTGGCAGACTCTTGGCGTCATACATTTCTAAAACCACCTGACCAAGAAAAAAAAACGAAACACGAGGTCTGAACTTTTGACAGAAATTAGCAGCATCTAAGTTTTGGTGAGAGAGACACTAAGGACGCGTCAGAACAGCCACTTATGAGGGCCACAGCGCCTTCGTTACTTACTGTGAAACCGCGAAAGTGGAATAATTTTAGAGATTGCGGACCAAACTACTTGTACAAGGAAAGACGCTCAGGAACTGCGTGAGCGCGGTGAGCACCATATGCTAGATCTTATTTGCCATTTAGAAGACTCACCTCAAGGCACTTCACCAGACGGCGCTGCATGTATCCTGTCTCAGCTGTCTTTACCGCAGTATCCACAAGTCCTTCACGACCTGTACAAGTGGAGATAAGTATAATCAGACTGTCAAGCAACAAAAATATCAGTACATACCACCCATAGTGTGAAAGAAGAACTCTGTGGGAGTCAGACCAGAGAAGAAACTGTTCTCGACAAAACCTTTTGCTTCAGGAGTCTTTTGAAGCTTTTCGAAATGAGGAAGAGAACGTTTCTAAAGGACCGCGAAATTTTCTAAGAGAACTATGAAACACAAAGAAGGAACAAAGTAAACTTACGTCAAATCCGTCCGGTGGACGATGTCCGGAGATAGCCTGTTGACCTACGCACGCAATCATCTGGGATATGTTGATGAACGACCCTTTTGACCCACAAACGGCCATAGTCAACGGAGCGTTGTGCCTGACATAAGAGAAATACTATACGGTAGTGTATACTGTACCAGATCTCAATTTCTAAAACATACTTCGACAGATTATCGACACAGGCTTTACCAGCCTTGTCACGAATTGACGACAGTTCACGCAGTATCAGCGCCTCCAACGTTTCCTCATCAGTACATCCAGGTTGAGCTTTTAGTTGACCGGATTTGAGTTGAGCAATATACTCGTGGCACTTCTTGTAACCTAAAAAGTAACACTTACAAATGTGGAAGCTGGGAAAAAATGTGAACAGGTTTTACCATTATTCAACAAAATTTGTTTCTCCTTGAGCAACTGTGCGCTTGGATGAACGTCGCCAATCCCTATAGAGAAACCACGGTTCGAAAGAAATGTTGGCATCATCCGTGCAAGTCGCCACCTGTGAAATAAAGGTGATATTTTAGAGTACTTCGTGAGACCTTAATAAAGAGAAAAAACGCAACACGTCCACATCAGCCAACCTCTCGATAGATTTCCTTGGCAAAATGCCAGCGCGAACATCCAATTGCGTAACAATGGCATGCAAAGTAGAATTTGGACAAAATGTAGCTCAGGATATCATATAGTGAAACATATCGCCTGAATTCTAACTTTCTGAGCTACGTTTCGCCCAAATCACTACTTTGCATGCCACTGTTACGCAATTGGGCGTCCGCGCTGGGATTCTCCAGGGATAAATAACATCAGTCGAGAGGTTGGCTATGTAGACGGGGTGTATGTCGGATGGCGTGGTTGTCAGCTGTCATACCGTAA